TTTTTTTTTTTTTACGTGCGTGTAATTATGTATCAATCGAATTTTATTTCTCATCGGATTTCGGCGGGGATCAGGCAATTTCGATTTCTATCTTTTGAAAATGATTTTTGCTATTAGTTGATCATGCATTCAAAGATGAGAATTAACGCATGAGTTAAATGTGATTGGATACAGTATGCACCAATCAATCGTTTGGCTTTAGAGTTTTTTAGTGCACCATTGACTAAGGGCAAAATAGATTTGATGTATAATGCACTTTCGCGTGTCACATTCTCCTCTTGCATTTCGATGCACTCGTTCCAATAACATTCAATTTCTTATAAATTACATTTGTGATTTGATTCAAAATTTATTCGCAATTTATTTAACATACTTAGGACCGAAATAGTAAATTTTATCTTATTACACAACTTTGGACATACATATTTGTTTAATCAATTGGTTACAATTATACACGTCTTACTATTATACAGAATATTATTTCAAATGTTATCTCAAATTATCTCAAATTAATTACGACTTGTTACAATTACAATTACAATTTGTGCAATAATTTTATATATTCATTTATAGTACATCTTATAATTAACTTATGTAATTAATATTATAAGTTTATATGTTACTATATATGTATAATTAGCTTATATTTACACATTATATAAGTTAATTATATTCTCATTAATGGATACGTATGAAACTTCATATAAGTCACAATTTATCTCAATTTCAAATTCCAACTTTAACTTTAATTCTAATGATAAAATTTATATTTTATGTTTATGTTGTTACAAAAATTTATGATTATAATCTATATACGTATTACTACACATGTATTTTAGTAATATATATTAATAATAAAATATATGTAATGTATATTAAACATTTCTTGAAACAAACTGCTTAATTAATTCTACTGATGAATTATAGTTTATATTTCTTCACAGTAAACTTCTTCTTAAATTTAAAATTCCGTCCCATTCTCTTGAATTATTAATTAGACATCGCTTAAATTATTAATAAGAAATCCACAAAAATTCAATCAGCTGATATAATTATTAAAGATTTTTTTATGAGAATAATCAGTCAAGAAACTTTATTTAGGAAATGATTTATCTACATTATACTTGTTGAGTTGCTTTCAGTAGCAATTTCATATTTTTTATTTCGAGACTTATTTCGTAACAAAGTTCCTTCTTGTTAAAACGATTTGTTACCTACTAACGTTATTTCTCGTTAAAACAATTTAGGATCACAAAAAGATTACTAAATCACAAGTTAATTAATTAAAATTTCATAATTCTTTCCTTGATTGTAGTAGATGGCGTACGAAATACTCCGATTTTTTCAAAGTCGCAAGACGCGAAGTTCCATACGATGTTATGTCTATTCTGTCCTTATTCAATGTTGTACAATATTTCTAGATAGAGCGGCGAATTTGTCATTCTTTAAGTATTTGAAAAGGAATGTGCAATGAACAAATAGCACAAATGTCTTCGTACGATTAGTTAGAAAAGAATGTTCCATCCTTACGGATCATTTTCAGCACAAAGAATGCATCCGAGACGTAGACATGGTAAATAAAATTATGTAGAAAATATGACAGTACAGTTGCATCTTTGCAATTACTTCATCTTGTGTAATTATATTCTATATATTGTATCATTTTTTGGAAGGGATTTTGAATTTGATAATATGCAGCATTTGATATATGTAGAATATCTTATTGTTTTTAAATGTGATGGCAATCTAGCAATTATTTAGGTTAGATTCTTTGGTCTGATATCGTGCAAATAAAATTACAGTTAAATGTAATGATTTTGCATGTTTTTTGATATTTCTATTATATGTTATATTTCTCGGTTATGTTTAGGAGATAGAGGTGAAAGTTCTCAATCTGGAGAATCACATTTTGGTAACCATGGCCGAGGCAGAGGCCAAGGAGGACATCCTCCTTGGTTGAAAGGCAAACAAATAGGACTTTATTACAGAGATAAAGCCAGAGAAATGAAGCAAAAATCAACTAAAATTATTAAGTTATCTGAACATGTTCAAGTACAAATTGAACGTGTGTTGTATAATTCTAAAGGATATTATGAAAAATTATTCAACAATGCATATGCTGAAGATACATTGCATGGCACGTTGGAAAATAAATATATGCATATTCATGATTCTCAGTTTAAAAGAAAGTTCATGAACATGGTATCTGGTAACTTACATGAAAATCTTGATAGAGCTTTGCTGGTCAAATCGAAATTGGAAAGGGATAGTGATTTAGATAAAACATTATTTAATGAATTTAAAGTAAAGACAGCAATGCAAGATTATCAAAGTATGGAAAAAATTAGATTAAAATTACCAGCACATCATAAAAAAGTAGATATATTAAGATCACTTAAGACAAATCAAGTTATTGTAATAAGTGGAGAGACTGGTAAGTTTCTGCTCTTTGTTTTGAAATTTGGAAGTAAATAATTTAAAATTAAATGTATTTATATTATTATTTGTTTGGTTAATATATATATCTTATAACGTTCATGTACTCAAGATTTTTTGAATGATTTATTAGACACAGTTATTATACAGATGTATTTTAGGTTGTGGAAAAACAACACAGGTTGCTCAGTTTATATTGGATGATGCAATAGAACATAGAGATGGTAGTGTTACACGAATTATTTGCACTCAACCTAGGAGGATATCAGCTATATCTGTTGCTGAAAGAGTTGCAGCTGAGAGAGCAGAAAGACTGGGTAAATCTGTTGGTTTTCACATTCGGCTTGAAAAGTAGGTTATTTTTTTGTTTCTTCCATTAATTTCACTGATGAAATATTATATTATCTGTGTTTTATTTGTAGGGTATTACCAAGAGATAGAGGCAGTATATTGTTTTGTACTACAGGAATGTTGTTAAAGTTTTTTCAACGTGATCCAGCCTTGAAAGAATTTTCTCATATTATATTGGATGAAATTCACGAAAGGAATACCGAAAGTGATTTTATTCTTGCTTTATTGAAACTAATTATTTCTAAAGTATGTTTAATTCATTTTTGTATAAAATTGTATGTTAATTTTTATTATATAAAAAAATTTATTTTTTTTTAGAGATCTGACTTGAAAGTCCTTTTAATGAGTGCAACAGTTAATCCTGAAAGTTTCTCCGAATATTACAATAACTGTCCAACGATTCATATTCCAGGCTTTACTTATCCAGTTGTAGAGTATTATTTAGAGGATGTTCTGCAACTTACTCAGTAAGTAATATTCGGGCTTAATAAAAACAATGTAAATAAATGATAATATTACTTGAATTACAGATTTAAATTTCCACCGGTAACTGCATTGCCCCAAGATCATAGAAAACATATCAAAAAATATAAACAGGAACAACAAAAAAGGGATGAGTTTCAAGATATGATAAGTCCTTACGCACGGATACTTAAAATCGAGGCAAATATCCTTATTATTTTATGATGGTGTACATTATGTTAATTTTTTTCTTATTTTTCTCATTTATTACATTATAGCGCAAATATTCAAAAGAAGTAATTGATCAATTACGGAATCCTTACAGTGAAAAACTGTCCCTTGATCTTATAGAACAATTAATTAGGTATATTTGCAGAAAAAAAGATCCTGGAGCTATTTTAGTTTTCCTTCCTGGTATGATGGACATAATAAAGCTAAATAAAATTATGTTGGAAAATGGACATTATCCACAAAGTAAGTGTATTTAATGTAAAACTTACTATAAAGTTATTGCATTCATAACAATTTTAGAGTATAATTTTAAACAAATTATTTTACATGTGCAGCTCAGTATGTTATTTACCCTCTTCATTCTCGTATGCCAACTATTGATCAAAAGCTCATATTTAAAGAACCATCTGAAGGAGTTCGGAAAATAATAATTGCAACTTCAATAGCTGAAACTTCGATAACTATTGAAGATGTAGTATATGTTATTGATTGTGGGAAAACGAAGTATGGTAAATTTGATCTTCAAAAAAATATCCAAACTTTAGAACCTGAATGGGTATCATTAGCTAATGCTAGACAAAGAAAAGGCAGAGCAGGCAGGTAAAAGATATTTAGAATAAAATTTCGAAGAAAATTATTTTATTTATGATATTTATTACAAAAATGATATGTTATTATATTCTTCTTAGAGTAAAACCTGGAGTCTGTTATCATTTGTATTCAAGGGTTAGAGAAAAGACATTTGAATGTTTTCCATTACCTGAAATGTTAAGGACGCGTTTAGAAGAAGTTATTTTACAAATAAAAATTCTACAATTAGGAAAAGCTAAAACATTCTTAGAAAGTGTTATGTCTCCACCAAATATGAAAGCTATAGATTTGTCTTTGGATTTACTTCGAACACTTAACGCATTAGATGACGAGGAACATTTGACTCCTTTAGGGTATCATTTGGCGCAATTACCACTAGATCCACGAACAGGTGTTATTTTTATGTACAATTTTTTATCAATAAGTTTTCATATTAATCATTCTATTTATTATTCTTATTAGGAAAGATGATTATATGGGCAGCATTATTTTCGTGTGTAGAACCAGTTTTTGCAATTGCAGCGAGTCTTAATTTTAAGGATGCATTTTACTGCCCTCTTGGAAAAGAGGAAGAAGCACGAAAAAAGAAACTCGAATTAAATATGGATCAATTTAGCGATCATATCGCGTTATCTGAGGCATTAACGAGATTCGAGGTCGCGTACAAAAGAAGCTATGCAAGTTCTTTTTGTAGGGATTATTTCCTTTCTTTTAATACGCTCAAACTTCTTTCCGAAATGAAAACTCAATTTGCCCAACATTTGTATCAAATGAAATTTATGAATTCAGAAAATCCCAGTGACGTTAATGCTAATAAGAACTCCAAAAACACAGTCTTAATAAAAGCAATAGTATGTGCTGGATTGTATCCTAATGTTGCTGTTATAAGGCATGTCTGATTTCTCGTATAATAATGATAGTTAATGAAAATTGAAATGTATATTAAATTTTGTTTCATGTTCAGGAAAGTTACAAGAAATGGAACATTTGCATGGACTCCAGAAGATGGTTGCGTTGCTATACATCCGTCAAGTGTAAATGATAGAGTTAAGGAATATCCTAGTCCATATATTACCTATTTTACAAAACAATTATCAACAGCAATATATTTACATGATACTACATGCGTTACTGCGCCAATTTTATTATTTGCTGCTCCGAATATGTCCATAAGTATGTACTTTCTATTGTTTATATAATTTACATTATATTGTTTATTAATTCACGTATATTTGTCAATACTTTCAATTGTTCCAGGAAAAGAAAAAGGAAACTATTTTATCAGTTTACCAAGCAGTCAAAATTTTTCTTGCGATTGGCAAAGTGCACAGCTTATTCAGGTACAGAAATAGATATATTTATAAACTAAAGTTTGTACTTAATGAATTTGTCTAATTATCTATATTTTAATTGTAGAAATTACAAGAACAATTTAATAACTTGTTAGAGTATAAAATAACACATCCAGGAACAGTATGTTGGAATGGTTTTGAAGGCGATTTACTAAAGTAAGTTTTATGTTTAAATGTTTCGTTTATTTTTTATTTATTTTTAAACAGCACTAATGTTATTTGTTAATCATAGTGCTATCATAAACCTGGTTTGTCAAAAAGATGAAGAAATGGGATTTTCTGAGTCTGATATTCAAAAATGTGAAGATAATATGTGTGATTAAATCTGATGATTTAATTTAATGAACTATGATAATCACAACTTTAAAACATAACAAAATAATTAGAACTTGGATTTTTAATACTCTTTTCAATTGTCTGAATTTCGTAAGATAATTCATAAATAATTCATTATTTGTAGTTTTAGATATTTAATTATAATAAGTAAAAATATATCAAATTTGTAACACACACGCGCGCGCGTGCGCGTGCGCACGCACGCACACACCACACATACACACACACAAATATTCAGAAAATAAAATTTCGGAGATAAATATAAAAAAAAATACCGAACCTATAAATTTAATTATCAAATTTACTCGAATCCTATAGAACGGCAACTCCATTATACGTTTTGTACATAGTAAATATAGTTAATAGTTGAAGAATGTTATTTATTTTATTATATACGAATTAATAATAACGCCATTAATGCATCATTGTATCAGTATATAAAGAACGAACTTCGAATGATCCATAGAGGAAATTCTACGCATTGTTACCTGATTGCAATTTATTGCACTTGAGAATGTGTTATTCACGTTTTTAAATATTCTTCTTTTTTTCCCAATCCAAATTTTCATAACGAAAGAAAGATCGTTTAAAATCATATCGCGCGTATCATTCCTACATATACCTTTTTTGTGCAATTTAAATTTTTAAAAGTCCAATTCAAATCCCTGACTAATCTGTAACGAAAAAAAAAAAAAAGGAAGAACAAATCAATGAAATTCGACAAGAAATTGAAAGAAGGCGCTACTTAAGCAACAAATTCCATTTAAATATGCGCGCATTGCGTCATCGAAGGAGTTTTCGTCTGGCTGATCATCTATACGTACAGGGAAAAGTAGAAAGCATCGTTTAACAAAAGATGCAGAATTTCGCGAGTAAACTGTCTCGCCTCTGTCCTGGCTGTGCATTCGCGCGTCGCCAGTAAAAATGAGCCTGGGGTCTGGCACGAGCTGATAGCCACCGCGAAGAGAAGTTGTAAACAGGGGAAAGAGAAAGAGGAACGGGCGAAAAAGAGGGAGGGTGGATATGGGGAGGGACGTTCTGGCAATACACGAGCGATGCACGTAGCGTCCAATTCAGTCTGCATCCGACCGCCGCGAGTGTCGCGTCGCGAAGCTGTGGTCGAACTTCGGGGGGGGCACGAGACTCCGATACGAGTCAGAATCGGTGCGAAAGTGCTCGTGGTACAACACCACGGTTCCTTATCCCATACTCATCTTGTACATGGTAATCGCCTTCCCTCTCTCGAGTCGTGTGGATCGTGATACTTGGAGAGGAAAAAACTGAGGTGAAAAATCGTAATCGTGTATATCGGAGTTATACAGAGAGAAAGAGAGAGAGAGAGAGAGAGTGAGAAAGGGAATACGGGTTACTGAACGATCGTATGAAGGTAGAGAGAGGAAGAGAGAGAAAATAAAAGAGGGACAGAGAGGGATTTTCGTCGCGACATATACATACGTATATACACGTGCAAAAGCAGAGGAGAGACGTGAAAAACGCGCGTGCGCACCCGTGTATTGCACATATACACATATATACGAAAAAGAGAGAGCGAGAGAGAGATTGGGAGAGAGAAAGAGAGAGAGAGTGAGAGCGAGACAGAGATAACGACGACACGGCGCAGGAAGAGGCAAGAGAACCAGTGACACCGGGAGGGTCGGGTGTTCCTCGTGCAAAACCGCCACCGGAATATATATCGTGAGTGTGCGGCCGAAGATTCGCGGATAGAGGCCGGCCGATAGTGCGTTCCGGGGTTTAAGAAGGGAAAAAAAAAGGCAAAGACTCTCCCGGGTGAAAAGCAATGCGGGTTCATTGACTGCGTGCCGCGCAATGGCCGCATGTTCGTGGCCGATGCACAGTGCATGTGTGACAGGAGCTACGAGGAGGACGACGCCGAGGACGACGAGGCCGGAGATACCGGCTACGGCCAACATCGAAGACCTACTGAAAGTTACTCCTCCTCTTCTTCTTCTTCTTCCTTGGGTCTCTATATGATCGAGAAACTCACCTCGATCACACCGGCGATAATACCGAGGATAACACTGGAATTTTTCGTGCTTTTTACGTGAGTAGCTCGAAAACTTTTTTAATATCGGCTTGCAAAACTGCATATTCAGCGTTATTTTTTTCCCTTCCCCTTATTTTTGACGCGTTTCGCCGGAAAGTCGTAAAATCAGAGGACCAACCTCCCGCTGACATACGAATCTCGATAGACATGTCCGAGGTCTCGACAAGAGGTATTTTCGAATTCTCGAATATCTTCTATTTACGATTATCGAGTTGGGAATACCAACATCCGGTGAGATGTACAATCTGCGTCTTTATTATTAGAGCTATCAACAACTAAAGTCGAAATGTACTAGAAAACAAAGGGTATATAGAAAATGTAATTTGGAAATTTGAGAATATATCTCTCTGGAATCTAAAGAATTGAGGAAAGATTGATTACTTCGACTATTACAGTAGTTTTAATGTTGAGAATCCTGAGGTGTTGCAATGCGTTATGACAGCAGCGTTAAACCCATCTAATTTTATCATTACTCTTACGCTATTTGATAATTTAAAAGTTCAAATAGTACTAAATTTCATACTGAAATGCAATGTTACAAGCGCTGGAATTTATTTTAGCAGTTTAAGACTATCACATAAGATACAGCCAAGTTGTTACCATCATTTTCAACAAATATCTCTTGCTTGTATTGAAAATCTGCACTTGTGCCACTTACATCATTTACCATTTCGACTGTTCAATTTTCATTTTCCCTTTCGCGTTTTAAATGTAAGTTTCGAACGGGAGCGAACGTGTTTCGAGGATATCAAGGGCGTAGGGTCATTCACTGCAACCGGTGTTTTCTCGTTCAAAGGTTGTTCGTATGTCAATGCCCTATTGTAGCAAAAAAACACTTAGCATTTGCAAGAAGAATTTGTATGTATTATATATAAGTTATATAAAATGTTTTCAAATTTCATTACCACTGTAACGATTGTCATGACTATATTGTTAAAGTTCGAAAACTAACTTGAATTATTATAACATATAGCACGAATGTATGTTATTTCAAGTATAATATAAATATATTAAAGATGGCCCTGACTGTTGGAGTTCATAATTAATATACTTTATTTCTTAAATGTTTTTGCAATACGATCTTTGCAATACTTAATCATGATAATTACGAGCATCGCGTATATCACAGTAGTAATGAAATTTCAAAGTAACTGTTTGAATACTTACATGAGCTAGTACAAGCGAATCATTTGAGCTGTTTCAAGAAATATCGTCGCGTGGCGAAAGATTCAACGAAACTGTAGATATTTCCTCATTAAAAATTAATTCCTTTACATTCGAGGACGAACAATCGAAGGACGCGTACGTCATGCTTGCAATGACCTTATCACCAATATGCTGACCTTACCTACCATAGGTATTATAAACATCATGTTTTCATAATAATACTTAATTGAGCATTTTGCCGCAGTGCAGATAATCTTCCTTCAAGAAATATCTGTTGTACACCAAAAACCTGTAAAACACATTACATTTTAACACTATAACGATTCAGTGATTAACGATGGTGGATGCCACTGGTGGCGTCGTGATTTTCAAATTAAAAGAGATTGATACTATAATTTCATTCGGTCGTTTTGTTTGTTAGGTTCACGAATCTTTCTAACTTCGTATCTAATCAATGCATGGTAGACTTTGCCACGAGTCGGCAACGTCTTATCTTTTCAGCTTGCGGTTTCTATGGCTACGGTTCCTTTCTCAAAATTCAAATGAACTTGAACCAAAAATAACCACGAAAAAAGATTAGAGTGCAGACCATTTAAATAATATTGAGTTATTCGTTCGTTTTCTACAACGAGAAAGTTCAATTTTTTATCATTGTGATTAACAAGAAGGAAAGATATAGATCAAAAGAATCATGACACATACCTTCAGTTTAGTCAAATTAAACGCGCATTTCATTTTCGATGCTTGAAAACACCGATTAGGTCGAATGATTGTAGCGTTGAAAGGAACAACTTCGCTTTGGAACAAATCCAATCGGTTGACTTGTGTATTCTAATCAAGTAAATCAGGATAAGTACATGTTTTTGCTCCGTTTACGTGTTCGAGGTAGTAATTAACTAGGATGAAACCGAAAAAATGAAGTTGTACACTGGCTACTGGTCTGACCACTATTTTGCATTATTTCCTTTGTTCGTGCCAATTAGTTTTTTCCAGTGCACTGTCATTTGTCCATTCTTCTTTCATATATATGCGCGCATGTTTCTTTCCCTTTCTATCACTTCATTTGTAAGTTCAATTACATAGCGTGACTTTATTCGTGGATTTCGATATAAGTCCTTTCTTAAGGTGCTAGAAGAGAACAATTTATTTTAATTTATTACTTATCAATAGAATAAGTGACAGTAATAGAGATCTATGAATTTAAGAAAATAATAAAATGATATAATCACATCTGTAACTATTCATATACTTCTTCATAAAAGAATATTTAACAAATTCTATCATTTCTTTTTAGTAAAAATTTTATACCTTTTTAGATACCGATACTATTCATATAGATTTAACGTTGTTTTTTTTTATAATATTAAAAATAATACATACTAAATTTTATCCTTTAAAACACCATTTTTAAATGTTGCAGTCGTTTAATTGTCATATACATAGATGGTTATCGAAATTCAAACTTGTAATCCCGTTCGCAGTTATCGGTCAGCCGGTCGTGTTCATTGATCTTGCCTCGGTTTAGCAGACCGAGATCGTTGCACCCGTGACATGAAACGTACTACTCGCGATGAGACAATTGTTTTTAATCATCATGTATATTCTCATTGATAGTACGCGTGACTAAACATATCTTGAGTTTTATTAAAAAATTCTAAGCGATACGGTTCTTCTGAAGAAAGGAATTGAGATTCGTGCGTTAAAACCAAGCCATTCACTCGATATGAAAGATTTTAAACACTTACTACCCACGACATCAACGCCATGCGAAAACGATAAAAATTCTGAATTCGTTTATCCGTTTTTCGATATTGTATTTTCGGCCGGTGTTCGCTCGCGGCCGAATTGGAATCCGTTACTTTCGGTACCGGCACCATAACCTTTCTCAACGTTTGTCGATTTCGAC